CGCTCCTCCGTGCCGTCGTATACGACTATCGCGTTTATCATAAAATAAATTAATCTCTTATGCTCCGACACAAAAGCAGATGTTGTCATTGACACATCTTTCTGATATGGGACATTCTTTTACAAACCGTAGAGATTTGGTCGAAAATTGACCGACACATTTTTGATTTAACTAAAACTTTTTTTACGTGTTCTATATGACAAAAAAAGATATACCTATTCGAGGATTTTTTTTGTTTCATTTTTTTGGAAAATAGAAAGGATGTAAAATTTGAGAATTTGGTGATGTTTGGCTTGAAGTATATTTTTTAAAAATTCATAACTCTGGTTCTATTTGAGCTACAGATTTCATTTTTTTTTATTTTGAAGGTAAAAGTCGAGCTTTAATAAAAAAGTACTTGAAAAAAGAATTATTAACAAATTCAAATGGTTATAAACAATTAAAATGTTTAAATCGATTTTTAACAATTGCCCCACCCTCGTATCAAGTTTTTAATACTTCTATCGTGTTCTACGTCAAATTTCCTTTCGAAAACGCTTTTTTAATCGATGGACAAATAATTATTACTATAAGAAAAAAATTAATTAATCTAGCGCGGTTCGTCACATCGGCGCGCGGGTCACACCGCACGGCCCATTTTCTTGTCTCATGTCGTTTTTCTCTGAAATATTAATGATTATTCCATTTTTTTCTTATAGTAATAATTATTTGTCCATCGATTAAAAAAGCGTTTTCGAAAGGAAATTTGACGTAGAACACGATAGAAGTATTAAAAACTTGATACGAGGGTGGGGCAATTGTTAAAAATCGATTTAAACATTTTAATTGTTTATAACCATTTGAATTTGTTAATAATTCTTTTTTCAAGTACTTTTTTATTAAAGCTCGACTTTTACCTTCAAAATAAAAAAAAAATGAAATCTGTAGCTCAAATAGAACCAGAGTTATGAATTTTTAAAAAATATACTTCAAGCCAAACATCACCAAATTCTCAAATTTTACATCCTTTCTATTTTCCAAAAAAATGAAACAAAAAAAATTCCTCGAATAGGTATATATTTTTTTGTCATATAGAACACGTAAAAAAAGTTTTAGCTAAATTAAAAATGTGTCGGTCAGAAAGATGTTCGGTTTGTAAAAGAATGTCTCATATACATTGGACCGATCCCGATCCGACAATTACGAATCCTATTGATATACTCTTCGGATTTATTATTTATAGCGCAATTATACTCGCGAGCTCTTGTAAAGGACACGTCGGGCATCCATCATACATAATTCGACATTCGGCTGGGTAATTTCGGGACCTATTCATTTTACGGCGAACTATTCCCAATAAATTTCGCCTAATTCTGCTCCTGCGCATGTAATCGACGATATTTTAGTGCATTATATTAATGCCTCTCCTCTCTCGATGAAGATTTGCGGCCATTTTGAGAAACTGAAGAGATTCCGGAAAAATCTTTGTTTGTTCAACAGGATGAGCAATGCGAGGAACATTTTTGCGCTATGCATTCCTGCGATTCAGACGGGCGATATATCGTTCGTCTTCCGTTTAAAAAAGGTTGTCCGATCAATATCGGGAAGCCGCAAAATCGAGTGGAAAAATTGTGACCCGAGCCCCGCCGGTCGGTGGACTTCTGCCCAACCCCGGCCGGTGGGGTGGTCGTTCTGTGATCTGGTTAACCATGTTCGATGTTACTCGGTGATTCCGGCGTAGCTCGCCAGATTTCCAGGCGTTCTTTTGTGCGTGAGTGGGGGTGTGTAGGTGTTGCGAGTGAGTCAAGCCGTGAGTTGGTAATTAACCGCTATTTATTAAATATTCCACGTTCTCGTACAATTTAGCCTACAGCGGGCCGCGCTTTAAATCAATCTCATTCGGTGGTAAACATTGTGGTGATAGATTAGCTACGAAGTCCCGTGTTTCGCGGTATTATGCTTGACGAATTCGTCGGCGTTTTGAAGTATTGAGATTCGCGGAATATTAGTGTCTCACGATGGTCGGTTCGTGATGCTCGCGGTGACGGCGGGGAGCGGTGTTATGATTTCGGCGTGTTGTTATCCACGGTTCGCGTGTTGTTCCCGGTGATTTAAAGTCGACAGTTCGCGGCGGTGTGCATACAACGGGATGCACTCGCGAATCACGGTCGTTGGTATACGGTGAGGCTGCATGCAGAGTGTTCGCGTCGGTCGAGTCCCGGAACGGAGGGCACGTGGCATCGTGCTAGGTAGCGGCGGGCGCGGTCGGGCGGGTCTGGCCGACGTGCAGCTTGCGGCGGTACGTTCGCGATTCGCGGCGGTTGACGGATTCGGCGATACCTCCGGTGAGGTGAGGATGGACAGACGCGCTTCGTCTGTTGGTTGCGCGGCGCGAATTACGGAACGGTACTCCAGGGCGTTCGTATGTCCCGGAGACGCGATGCCCAATGACCGGAATGGGACGGGCAAGTTCGAGAACTCTCGACAGAGACGGCGAACACACATCCTTACGCGTTCCGATCCCCAGGTCCGCCACGAGCAAGAGGGCTGGGGACTCCCGGTGGAGACGGCGAACGCACTATCCCGAAAGGGTAATTAGGAATCCAGCGCTCGCGACTTTCACGGGAGAGACAGCGTACTCATTACCTCGAGCTTGCCGGACGGAAAGGATGTTGAGTTCGGCTGCGAACACACAGCTGTGACGGCACACACACCGTCGCGGTCCCTCGACCTGGGGATTGGGATCGGGAGCAGCTTACGATCTTTCGATCCGACTGACTCCGGTGGAATCGGTCCTCTTGCCACGGCGGAGCGGCCTTTTATTCGGATTTCGCCGCGTTTTTTCGCACGCGGCTTGTTTGACAACAACAATGGTTGTTGTTCGCGCGACACGTGTCTAGCGTGTGCCCCGCGTGTGGATTTGTTTATGTGGCGCTGAGCGCCGTTTAGCGGCGGACGGATGGTCGATCGGCCGCGGTGTTCGCCGGGGGGTATGCATCGTCACAAAATCCTTAAATGATGCCATGATAAAGAGATTTCGATCCGGAGATGTAATCCGGAAAAAATGGAGTACACCGAATTTCTCCACGAGTATGAACGCCTGGGGCACATGCAAAAAGCGTTGGTGTCTCAAGGCGGTTAAATCAATGTGTCTTTATTCCACATCACGCGACAGTACGAGAAAATAGTGCGATTACGCTTCTACGCATAGTGTTTAATGTGTTGTAAGTTTAACTATGAAACGTGTCGATTGCTATAAACAAATTACTATCGCATGTTGCCCCAATTACGTAACGTTACCTTGCAGAAATGCTACTCTGCATTCTGTCGAAAGCAATACCAAAATCAAGGTGGTCAACGTCCAAACCCAAGTGACGCTGACACATGAAAACTATCTCATTTAGACAAAGGAAGAGGATAAAAGGGACAAAAGATCAAACTCTGGGCGACTCTAGATTCTCAGCTCTCGGGTACCGACACGCTGTCGGTCACACTAAAAATACTGTAGCGGGCGGAAAACATAATAGTAACAAGTTTATCTTCGAACAAGAGATAATATATTGTAACCATTGCCTTCCGCGCTGCGACGGGACTACTCGCGGACTACTCCCACACTACTCGCGTCAACTCGACTCTCACAACAAATTGGTGGCTTCTGAAGGCTTCTGTGAAAAAGCAATCGCAAGTAGCAGACTGGTGAGCAACAAATCTTGAGAAATCAAAAAATATGGGAGAAGAAAGAAAACTACGTGGCCGGAAGGAACGTACGTCGGAGCTACGACTACCAACACGGGCCAACCACAATAGCAGAGGAGGCGACGATGCAGCAAAGGCAGCAGTAAACGACCTACCTCAACGCAGAGACAAGCGGCAGGCAACTCAACACCGGACAATCAGAGGACCGCTAACGAACCGGACGAGAACGCAATAGCGCAACACGTCAACATGAGTCCAGTCGTATTAATGTAGTGGATATTTTAATGGGATAGGAGAGGTTTCAAAAGAAAATTGACTCAAATCGTAGAATCGAGGAAAAATCAAAGAAAAGCGTTTAATGCATCATATACATTTCCGAGCCTCGTCGTGTGTCGTTTGAATCTGTTGATTTCTTGTTGTCACGCCGCTCACGTTCTTCACGCTGATTGTGCGCACTTGTTTTTTCTCGACCTCCGCCGAAACTTATCGATATATATTGCTACTGTTATTTTTATAACATCACAATATTCACACGTCTTAACTATTCAGGTAGGTACGAAGGATATAAAAAAAACTAAAACTTAATTAATTCTACACTCGGCCATCCTGATTGACATTTGACCTCAGATGTCGTTATCTCGTTCTATGCTATCTGGAGAATCTTCCTGAGGGTTCGTCCAATATTTCATGAGATCTACAGCTGTCGATGTTGCACGTGGGCCTTTTCCTTCACATTTTTTTTTCGACGATATACCGGTCGTTGCGTAGAACGTGTTTGATACGGTAAGGTCCGAGATATTTCGTACAGAGCTTGAGTCCTGGTCCGCTTTGGGTTCGTTGAATAGCAACTATATCGTCTTCGTTATATTTAGTTGGTTACTTCCGTTTCTTGTTGTAGCTTCGTCTGTTCTCGGCTTGTATCTTCAAAATTGCGTTTCGAGCTTCTTCTCGTAACTGGCTACGCTACTCTTGAAAAATGTTAGCTTGCTCTGTTTCTAAAATTTCTTTTAGGCGAGGATCTTCTTGCAGTCTCATTTTTTATCTTCTTGGGTTCCTCGTCGGAGCTCGAATCCTTCCTTGACTTTCGAGATCTCGATCTGTCGTCTTCGCTTTTCCCGCTTTTGGCGGCATTCCGCTCCTCCTTGCCCGAGAATGAGTTTTTTCGCGATCTTTTGATTTTTTCATTTTTTCTTCGATCTCCTTCTTCAAGCGTTTTTGCAAATCATTCTCGGTGATTTCGCATTTTCTGCTGTTCTTTCGATTTTTCGATCGTCCGTTGAGGAATCAGATCTAACAATTTTTCTAGTTTTTTTATTCTTGTCTGATTATTTTCTGTCATGGTCGAAATCCAAATTGGATTCTGCTTTGCTTTTGTTAGACTTATCTTCGTCCGTCGATACTTTTCTGGATTTTGGTTTTTCCAGCTTTCTCAACTTTCTCTTGTTTTCAACATCGCTGTTTTCACCGTCCATGGAATCGTCGCGCTTTTCTCTCTTTGCTTTCTTGACCACATCCACGGGTTTCTTGGATGACACAGGTTCTAACGTTTTCTGAGTAGACTTCTTGTCTTCCGTTATTAATTTTGTTGTCTTCAATGATTTGTCGTCTTTCTACCGTGGGAAAGCATCTCCAACAGGGAAACTCTCTTCTCCAATCTTCGGCGAATCATTCTTAACGTCTTCCTTTATCGTTTGTTTAATTTTGGGCGCTGCTGCCACGATGTCTTCGGTCTTCTTGAATAGTGACGGTGTATGCGACAGGCTCTTCGAAAATCGATGTCTTATAATAGGGAACAAAACAGCTTGAAGCTTTTTGGGGGAGACGCTAGACTCCGTCTTCAAAACTATTGGACTCACATAATCGGAGTACGACGGTTGTACAATGCCTTCATCGAGCCACTCGCGAATTTGTGAATCTACTCACGTCTTTTCTGTTACGGATAATCTACGTGCATTAAGGGTAACTGGAACGTCATCTTTAACAACAACAGACATATTAATACCAACCTCCTTTTCTTTCTTAGGTTCGTTTCTTTTAACAGATATGCTACTTCTTTTTTAATATTTTCATCTGAAATGTGCGAGAGATCTATAATGTTATCGTCTTGCACTGCGTCAATTTTTTTAAACTGCAGGCACTTTTACGGAATCGTCTACAATTTTTGAAATAGTTACAACATTCTTTCTTATATGAACTTCTACGCTATTCAAAAAATCGGTTCCTATAAGCATGCCACGCGGTATTGTTTCATCGTTAACAATATGTACTAAAATGTCATAAATTTCCATATCGATACAAATTTTCACACGCATGTCACCTAGTGTTGTATTTTCTCTCGAACCTGGCCCATGAAATTGTATTCTGCAATATCCTAGACTTGGCGATCCAATCTGTTCGTATTGTTCTTTACACATTAAGCTAAGGTCGCTGCCTGAATCTATCACCGCCTTCAATTTTACACCGTTAATAATAACATCTTTTTGACATTTTGCGGAATCGGATTGTACGACGTTACAACTTTTTTTTTGTGTCGGTATCTGCGCGTTCTGGACACTTCGCCACTATGTGACCGTACTTATTACACCTGAAACATTTTGTACCTTGTCCTCTCGAAGGACATATCGCACCTAAATAATTCGCCACGGTTATAACAACGTTTAACATCACGCTTCGAGTCCTCATTTCCCGTATTAAAAAACGGTTTCTTTTTACTTTCGTTCGTCTTTGCATATGACTTTGGTTTACCGCATAGTTTACGTATATGTCTAACTTATCTTTCAATTATCGTTTATCTTTAGCACCGTACAGCACCGCCTTCCGATATGCTTCGTCGTCGATGCTGTACTGGATGGCCGCCTTCGTCTCGACGTCTGCTCGCGCTACTATCTCCATCATCTTATAGCAGTACTCGTCGTAGGATTTCTCGGCCTTCTTCTATCGTTTCTGTAGCTCTCGATGCACTATTCGACTGTCCACCTTCGGTGCAAACTCCGTCTTCAAGGCGACTTTCATAGTATTCTACATTTTTCCACAACCATCCGATTTCACGAACAAACGAACGAAACCCCGTAACAATCTTTTTGCGTAGATGGTTTTCTGGATCGCGTTTTACTCACACAATTTTGCCATGTCTTCAAATTCCTGGATCCATAAATTCACATTTTTTCCGTCATCACCATTGAAAATGTAAATCGACTCTTCAACATCTTTGAAATTCGGCACAAATTTTGATCGACTGTGTACTTTGTTTGTCCCGCCATCACCAGCACCAGCTTCGTCTCGTTCGTCTTCGATCTGTCGTCATCGTTTTCTTCTTCGTGTTGATTCTCCAGGATTAGAGCCGCCTTCAATCGCGTCATCAAATTAGCTTTGTTGCCCGTCGTCTTTAATTTATGCATTTTAAGCTCTTCTCTCAGCTGGGCCATTTCGTCCACTCGTGCGTCGCCTGCAACGTCGTTTCGCTGTACGTTTCCGTCAGCCATATCGTCTTCTTCCTCTTTTCCGATTTTTCGTCGGTTTCGATTTCTTGGTATCCCGGACGAGCCCCCAAGTTGTAGTGGATATTTTAATGGGATAGGAGAGGTTTCAAAAGAAAATTGACTCAAATCGTAGAATCGAAGAAAAATCAAGGAAAAGCGTTTAATGTATCGTACACACTTCCGAACCTCGTCGTGTCTCGTTTCAATTTGTTGATTTCTTGTTGTCACGCCGCTCACGTTTTTCACGCTGTTTGTGCGCACTTGTTTTTTCTTGACCTCCGCCGATACTTATCGATTATATATTGTTACTATTATTTTTATAACATTACAACATTCACACGTCTTCACTATTCAGGTAGGTACGAAGGATATAAAAAAACTAAAACTTAATTAATTCTACATTAATGTAAGTCTTAGTCTAACACACACAAGCGTATTCACATAATTACAAAAGCGAGAAGCCAAACCGTCCGCTTGAATGTCCGAAGGCAGTAATATACCGCGTAATCCTTGCAAAAATAGATCATGGTTATTTAGCGAGCTTGCAGCAAATACACTAAGACAGCCAGCCGAACTAGTGAATCAAAATCTCGATAACGTAATAAATAAAACCGTGCAAAGTATAGGACAAGGATTACAAGACGCGTTAGCCGTACTTGATTGTTCAAATGAAGAGCAACCCCCGATATATATTGTAACTGAACGCGAATTCTCGTTTAGTAAAATCGATGAAAGTATATTACAAAATGTAGCTCCACGCGTCAGAAGACAAAGAAACTTGCCAAGTAACAGTACGGACGTGTCAGGCAGGGCAGAATTTTTTCTAACTTCGTAAGACGAGAGCGTTTTCAACCCGAACAAAATACTTGATAACTTGATAACTATGGACAGGCATACAGAACAAGATGTACCGTATATTAACGGTCCCGCGATAGACGAGGAAATCAATAGATTACAAACCACCGTACGCGCTACAAACGAACGATAGCGTAAATGGAAACCCTTTACCAAGAGGCAACATGAAAGGAGAACGCGACTCTCTAGTAGAGGCCTTATTAAATCAAATACAAAATCTCACTTTATACGTAACCGAGCTAAACGAGAAGGTTAATATAATGCAACAAAATAACATAGAAGAATTCATCAAGCTACTAAGGCCCACTGCAACAGAGATAGAACGTATGACCACACACATATACATGACCCCCTCTCGGAAGATAGTCTCGCATTGAATTCATTCGTAATCGACCTTTGACATTAACAGACGGCGTATAAAAGAGGCCAGGGACTTAATACCGACCTTTGATGGCTCAAGTGAAGAGAGTATCAAGGAATTCCTGCACGCGTGCAATTATGCTTACGGTCTAAACCTACGGAAGAAATTGCATTGACTACGGCAATAACCTGTACGAAACTAAAAGGACAGGTCATTACAGAAATGGAGAACCAAAATATAACGACTTACAAAAAATTGAAGGAAATACTAGAGGCCTCCTATTCAAGAAACAGGTTGACTATACGCTTACAAAGAGAATTTAATTTCTTACGGCAGAATACCAGAGAAGAAGCGCGGGTCTACGGAAAGAGAGTCGATAAACTAGCGTCAGAATTATACGAGTCAGCCACTGACGGTACAGTATACACCCCGGTAGAAAAAAGAGCTATCCACGAATACATTAACCCTCAAGCATTAATTAATTTCCAACTTGGGTTGAATGAGAAGCTGCAAACCATAGTGCGATCTAAAGCTCCCACTACGCTAGCTGAAGCTATTGCCGTTGCAATGGAGGAAGAAAAGATAAAAGGACTAATTAAACACTATAATAATCGTGAACTCCCATATAACAGTCGAAGGACGACATATCCACGCGCTCGAGAAAATGTTAGATCTCCAACGTGTCACAAATGCGGTGTTGCGAGTCCGAAACGTCGCGATAATGTGGAGTTGCCCGGCACAGCGTAGTAGAGCGGGGGAAGGTGGTGTGGCGCGATGGTTAATAAAGTGTTTCTTCGATTGACAAAAACTGAACTTGTCTTTATTACTTGATTGCCCGATACAATTTTACGTACGCTTCCGACAGCGTGTTGGTACCTGAGAGTTGAGAATTTGAGTCGCGCCCGTGCCGGTCTTACGTCCCCTTTTATCCTCGTCCTATGATTTAATCGGAGGGGACGGAGTTGATGTGTCAGCGTCATCTAAATGAGGACGCTGACCATCCTGATTTCGATATCTCTATTGCAGGAATGCCAGGTTGCATTTCTGCATAGCGACATTTGGCAATTCGGAGCCGTGGCTCCGTTTATGGTCGTCGACATACTTCGTCGTTATGCTTACAACAGCGACAAAACAGAACATGAATGGAAAGATTGTCGTACGAGCCGTTGCACGAACCGATACACCCTACCAACAATAAGGGAACGCCCCCGTGTAAAAGTCGATGAAAAAATATTGCACATACTGCAAGAAGGTAGGGCATACTCGTGAAGAATGCTGAAAGCTACATGGGAAGCCAGTTGAATACGCTGCACCTAACTTTGAACGTCGCGAAGGACATCAAAACACAAACACCGCCTCGACTGATAGGCGTGAAATGAACCAGGGCGACACTCCTAACGAAAACGAAAATAAAAACGAGTGACAGAAAAGAGACATTACAACGCAAAATACTCGAGAATTTCAGGTCAATCAAGTGAAGAAAGCTAGGCAAACACACACGGGATTGGACTTAATGATACTTCCGATATGCGAAGCCAGACGGGAAAGCTTTTACTGGATACCGGATCATCAATTAGTTTTATAAAAGTGCGGTCTTTAAAGGGGGAAACTACCGTGACTGTGGATAAAGTAGCGGATAGTAACCGAACATTAAACGAGAACGCTTGGTAAGTTCATTGCAACTATAAAACTAGGAAGACAAGTCTGTTACATCCTGGGTATCTCGGAACTACGAATTCTTTTTTTTTATATGATTGGAAAGCAGAGAGTCTTCGGGCAAGCGCTATTATAAAAAAGATAAGATTACGATGACTCGCCGTTAAACGCACCCTTCGTGTTTCTCAACACGTCTTTCATCTTTTCCTTCTTCACGTAAGGCACGTAGTTTTGTTACATCCTGGGTACCCCGGGAACAACGAATCCTTTCTTTATAATCAGGAAACAAGTGGATTTGGGCAAACGCTAGTGTAAAAAGAATAAGATAATACGCCGCCAAATGTGTCATGTGTTTCTTAACGCGTTTATCACCTTTTCCGCCTTCACGAGTAATCGGCCGGACTCAGGCCTTTCGATGGGATTAGGATCCTGAGACCGTTTATGACATCCTGATAATGTTAGGAGTTTTCTAGGTATCCGTTTTCCACTCTTCCATATCCGTTCTCCACGAAACTTCCTCTCGTTGGCGATCGTCATCTGCCACTCCCCAAAATTTTTCCTATAAAAACCTTACTCTTTGGCCATTCCACTGTCAGTCAATCAGTCAGTCAGTCAGTCAGACAGTTCTTCTTTTTCTGCTGAGTAACGCGCTGTGTAAGTAGGGATCTCTTAAGTGAACTATTTCTCTTGATATTCCGGGATAATCCATAAATACGGTAAACGATGATCAACGAACCCATGTTCTACGTACTATTCACCACAGTCGATTAACCTAAATCGTAAGTTTCTATTTCATATTTAAACATGACTTAATAATTTCAATCCAATCTTCAATTCCACTTTACTTCTTAAAACACACACGTACACTGCGTAATTATTATCTTCCTTGTATTATATAATGATGTTTTTATCATCATACCGATACGTTAAACATTCTTGTCACTTTAAATACGATTGTAATACATTAAGTTACATGGACTATTTTTTATTTAATCTTACTTTAATCTTCATCTTTTATTGCATTATTCCAATAATGTTGATTTATAAAAATTTGTTTAATGTTAACCCATATATCTCATTGTTTAACTTTAGCTAACTGTTTCATCATCATTTTTTAAATATTGTATTTTTTACAATGACTTTTCTCATCAATTTATCACTATTATTAATCCATGTGAGAATGAAATTATGTTATTAGTATAATTAATAAACTGTTTTACTCAAAACGCCCTGAATTTAACCAAGTTGTTACAATTATTCATTCAATTCTTTCGATTACTTAAATCTGAATTCTCCTTTCAACACTTTCATATGGTCTTATCCCATGTAAAGGGATTAAGTTCTTTGACCTAAATAAAGGATCACCTAAACTACATTCTGCGATCGGAATAAATTGGCCTCTCCGAACCTTAACCTGATCCGCAGACCTGCCAGTACATTTCGGCCTCGCGAGTGCGCGAATAAGCGATGTTTGTTGCGTACATCCTCTTCCAGGACGTAACAAGTCGTACAACATAAAATCTACGTGGTAAAAGATGATTTTCTTGTCGAGTATGGGAGAATATTAGGAGTTTTTCTGCAAGCGCATAACGCGACCTGCAACTATTAAAATTGGAAACTGAGGATTCTTGGGAACAATTAGCGTTTATTGCCTTATCGAACATATTAGATACCTGCTCGAAGCGAAATGATAATAAAGGCAACAACAAATGTAAATTCAATAGGAATCGTTACCACTAAAGAAAGAAAAGCTGGAGTTTTTATTGGGAATTGTTTAGTAATTCCAAACAATTACACGTGTAACGTAAGCATCATAAACACTACGGAGGACACGGTCGAATTGGCTACCCCGTATGTAACCTTAGAAGACGTACTGGACCCAATGAGAAAGGAATAAATTTAATAAATACGAGACAAAATCGTGGTAACACACAGCAACCACGAATGGAGAAATTGAAGCAACAATTACGCCTACAAACCTGAACCATGAAGAACAAGGAACAATATACACGATTTGTGAAGATTTCAGCGATGTATTCTTACTCGAAGGAGACTGTCTTATTCATACTACAGC